GCTATGTAAAAATTCTGCTGCGACTACTGAAAGTGTCAATGAGGAACAGTAATGGAATTTCCACTCCGTGTTTTAGCCACAGAAATTAATTTACAAGTGTTACAGCCCACTTTAGGTCACATATAAATAATACTATATCAATTTAGGTCGACACAGGACACATTCCTGTTCAACACAGGACTCTGAAAAAGTGCAATCTACTAATAACTTTCCTGATGCACTCAACTTATGCAGACAGCTGCAGCGGCAGCAGAAATAAATCAGCTGCAGATACACAGGCCTCTGTACATCCTCAACAACAACATCCTGAACACAGTTTGTTTTTTCTGGAATTCTTTTAAGGACCTGAATTAATTTAAGAATGAGTTTAGCATCCGTGTCCCTTTTAAAATCAATTATTTTAAATGCTTGTCTAAAACTGTATTTACAATTTGAATCTGGAAATCAGTCCATAAATATTGTGTTGATTACACTAAAATAATGGAAATGTTATAATGAAAAATGATTAAGAAAAATAATAGACCATAAGGATGTTAGCATCTATTTTGGACAAAACCCTGAAGCCACAACTTAATATTATTGTTAAAAACCAATATTATAACAACCATCTCCTCTTACTGTTTACATTTGTACTGTACTGGTCAAGAAAATAAATAAAATTAAATACGAAGACCTCAGTACTGTACTGGTCAAGAAAATAAATAAAAATAAATAAAATACCTCAAAAACAGAGCAAGTCTTTCAACCTTAAGAGCAACATCAAAGAAGTAAGATGTAGGACATCGTAGTGTCTTAAAATACTACAATAAAACTATATCACATATGGATTGGTCGGGGAAGAATTCATACATCAAGATGCTGCAGCAAGGCCAGCAGACTCCCAGAGGCAGCATTAACTTTGAGCTGTGGTTATTTCACTTCTTTACTTCTGCTTAAATATTTGATTTGTTGTCACAAGCACAAACAGTGGTGTTGTTTGTCTGCTGACTGCAGCATCACAGCATCATGTTAAGATGATACAAAAAAGAAAAAAGCTTGGTTCGGTGTGAGAAATCAAGTGTGCACATAAAGGCTGAGTTACAATGAGGACAACTGCAGGAAATAACTTCCAAGTGCAGAGATTTACTTCCATTGGGGGAGAAAACCTCACAATCTGGATCACCATCTAATCCAAAACATGCATCAAAAGGGAGTCTGTGATGAACCTGTCAATATCATGACTCAAGATTACCTCAATCAGCTTGTTGGCGTGCTCACGAAACACCTGAGCGTACTCCTTGACTTCTTTCTCGTTGCCATTCTTGGCTGCTTCGATCAGCACCAACAGAGGAACGTTGGTCTCCAGGAAGGAGTCGGAGACGTGGTCCATCACAGCTTTACGCAGCTGTGAAGAAAAAAATAAGATATCGCTTGTAGACATAAATTCCTGTTGTACGTGAGAAGGAAACCAAACAAGCATCAGCAAATCCCATGGTCAACAACTCACCTACGTACTTACAAATAACTACATCCAATAAACAGTCAACTGCAGCCACAATAACTCGTTGATTTTGAACAAGTGGACTGCAAGAGCCCAACAACAAGGGAAAAAAATGTGTACCTGTCTGCGAAGGTCTCTGGTTTTCTTGGTCATCCTGTCAATTGCTGTGTTCAAAGCATCACTCCTGTCTTTCCGTCCAGCCTGAAACATGAAACCAGCAGAGCACAAAGCATTAGAAGACTGTGGGGACATTTGTCACATACTGTTAGTTAGAAGGCTGACAACCTGCATACAGATATTGGCAAGAAAAACAGCAGATCGGCATTGGAATCATGACTCAACACTTCCACGTTGTTGTATCTTAAATTCTTTTTATCCTGTCCGGATTGTAAGAAGAACCTGCAGTAGTTGGGCTGCATTGTCAAAAAAAACACTTCTTTTTCCACATCAATCTTTTAAACCTGACACTACTACTCTTTGAAATCTCCTCTTGTAAGACCAGAAACAACAACAACCCGTTTCAATTGTTGGTGCATTCTCACAAAGCACTACACACTGAAGGAGAAAGCATCATCATTTCCTTTTCTTAAAGAGAAACAAAACAAGAAAGACAAAGACGGGTAGATGACTAGGCTCTCAACAAAATCTAATTAAAGCAAGAGGATGAACAAGAGTCGACAAAGCAGAAGACCTGCTGAGTCTTTATTATCATACCTCACAATGCACACGTGTCAAACTCAGGCCGGGGGGCCAAATCTGGCCCGCTGTGTAATTATATTTGGTCCGCGAGATCATATCAATTGTGTACTAGAGTTGGACGGCAGGATTTGTGGTATTAGCTGTGTATGCTCAATGTTATAGTGCATACACATTTTGTTGTTGTCCTGTAAAAAAAAAAAAACAAAGGAAAACATGCACAATTGCCATTGTTTTTTTCAATAAATATTAAGTTTGGCCTGCGACTTTGTCCCAGTTTTTAAATTTGGCCCACTTTGAGTTTGCTGCTACAATGCTTCAATCAAGCACAAGACAGCGAACAGATGGTGGCAACCGTGACCTTCTCCCAACCCCCACTGCACTCATTTTATTGAAGGGTTGAGTCCAAAGTTCACCAGACTCGCATCAGCACCAACCCCTGTTATGTTTTCAGGCGTGGTGCAGTAGTACTCTATCCCTCCTTTCTAATCCTATTACATTCACGTCTACCTTACATTTTGCTTCCATTTCACAGGGTTTTAACACCTTTTTCCCCCAGGTGCTCGGAGGCAGTTTTATTCTGCGGCATCCTTAGGGGAAAAAAAGGCGAAAAGAAATAAAACATGCTTGGGTGTCACTGTGTCAGTTCGTCACCAGGTTCAATGACACAGGATCTGTTTATTATTCCAGCAGATCTACATTCATTTTTACAAACTTTTTTAAAGGCTTACTTAGAACATGAATTGGTCATCGATTCCAGAATATCAGAGTGAAAAAAATAAAGTTATGAACCATTAAATTGGTCATCGATTCCAGAATATCAGAGTGATGAAAAAAAAATAAAGTTATGAACCATTAAACCATTTATCACATAAAATACTGAATACTGAATCTGACACACAGCACTCCCCTCCCACCGCTGTTTTTATATCATTTTTTTTATTCAACAAAGTGAACATGTTTATTAAATGAAGACATAAAACTACTAGTTGAGATTACAAACTTGTTTGGGAAACATTTAATAACATCAGAAAGTTGCTGAGAAAAAGAGTTCTTTTCGCTTCAGCAAAGGTGTTCTGTTCTACCTTCGTGTTTACATTCAAAGTAACCAGATGGCTACCCACATTTCACCTACTGGTTATGCAACAGATAGGAAACGGCTAAGGCTGCAGTGATTGACAGCATGTTTAAATAGAACAGGATGAACCTGATTATAAGACAACCTAAGTATGCTGCTGTAGAAGAGTTCTGTGTCGCTGAACGCCTTTATTCTCCTCATTCTTTGAGGAACATTTTCAGTGTGGTTGGGTAAACATTAAACAGTCGTTTGTGCAAATCAATAGAAAACAAATAATAGACTCGTCAAGCAGCTACAACTTTACCAGGTGAATAGCAGCATCCGAGAATTTGGTCTTATCTGTTACATGTTAGAAGCTTATTTAACTGTAGAGCAGCTGGTCATGCATTACATGGCAAGTGCTCAAAAATTAAAGGGCTGCACTCAGGATATGTAAATTATAAATCTAATCCCCATCCACCTATGTTAGCACCACCAAGGCACATTCCTATTAATAGGTAACGCACCTTTTTAACACTCGGGTCCGCAGTACTGTGGACTACACTGACATTTTATATAACTAAACCTGCTTTGTCATGGTATTTTGTTTGTCTTTCAAGTCTGTGTACATGCACATACTGAGCGCATGGAGAGCAATGGCGGGTTGACACAGATTTACAGCTGTGGTTAATTTCAACAGCAAGCTGCTGCAACACCTTCAAGATATCAATATTCTGATGGTGACGAGAAGGAGAGGGCGAGAGGGGAGAGTAGTGGGAGGGTGGGGGGTAAGACTGAGGTGCACAAGCAGTGTGTATGAGGCAGAGAGCAAGTGACTGAGCAAGAGAGTGAGAGGATGTTTGTGTGTGTGGGAGGGAAAAAGAGAGAGAGAAACAGTAGTGATGATCGACGCCAGGCTGCCACCACTCTGTAGCAGTGAGTGGCTGCAACAAAAAGCACAGAATAACATCCCTGACTCCCCGCTCTGCTGTTTTCTCTCTCCCTGCATCTCGGCTCGCAGACGAGGTCTGCGCTCACAGCTCTGCAGAGGCTATGCTGTGACTGTGCTGGCTTCGGAAGCAGAATACTGGCTGCCATCAACAAGTTAGGGTTAGAAGAAAAACAGCCACGAAAGAAGAAGACTTGATTTTCAATTAATCTTTTCAGCTGACATCGTTGCAGAGGACGGGAAACAAAAGGGTAAAAAGAGAGGAAAAAAGGAGAGGGTTTTTTTTCCCTCACTGGAGTCGAGCTGGATGCAGCTGACCAACTTAACATACATTTTTTTTTTTAAAAGACAAATACAGGATGGAGGAAAAGACTGAACCTTTTCTTTGAGCTTGGATTTTAAAGGGACTATTTTAAAGGATCATCTTTGGAGATGGAATTTCATATTTTGTTTCATTTGTGTGGGCTTAAAAGTGCTTTATTTCCAAAGAGGCTGATTCCTTTTGTGCTTACTCAAAAGGGTTTTTTCCCTTTGGATTTTTCTTCCATTTGGTTGCTCCAAGAGTCTGCGGGAAAGGACAGTTGAATGCAGCCTCCGATGTGCACAAAAGAATGGGTAAGTTAGATCCTTTATACTGCCGGTTGAGACATGAATAAGGAACACAAGGAAGAGCGAACGAGGCTGGGGACTAAAAGCTCCTCAACCGAGACTATTTACCCCAGTTGTCCTTCATTTTCCTTTCTAAAAGATGCATATACTTTTTATTGCAACTATCGGGTAACTCAAATGTGACTGGAAAAAAAAAACAGAAAATAAAAAAAATGAAGGCATAATTGAGTTAATCAAAAAAAGTGGCAAAAATGATTAATGGGCGGCAGCAAGCAGCAGACAAGATTTGCCTAATGCACGCCACATTAGAAAGCACAAATTCATCACAAATAATTCAATCTAAGTGTTAAATCTAATTACAAGATCTTGCGGTGAATAACATGTCCATGAAAGCAGAACTTGAAGAAAGCCTCCTCATCTTCACTGCGAAAGTTGCCAAAAAATTTAAACCAGAGATTGTGTGCGAAGTATCAGAGGGCACACGAAACAGCAGAATCACACATGAATAAATAATGTCTGCCGTGCAGAAATAAGCTTTTCTGCCTCACTGTCCATTTTCTTATCTTTGAACCCACCCAGGTTTCCATTCAAAGTGGCCATTGGTGGGACCTGCACCAGAGGCTCTGTGTCTGTGTGTGTGTGTGATCAGCATGCTCCTTTTGTGCTTGCTGCCTCCTGCAACATGCACAACTTGCCCCCAAAAATGCCGCTGTGAGGACCTGCAATTTTACTGCGACACCCAGGGTCTCCAGGCACCCCCAGATGGTGTGGACAAGGGGGCCCTAGGGCTGTCCCTACGCCACAATAGCATCACCGAGCTCAGCCCCGATCAATTCTACGGCTTCGGCCAGCTCACTTGGCTCCATCTAGACCACAACCAGATCACCACAGTACAGGAGGATGCCTTTCAAGGGCTGTACAAGCTAAAGGACCTTAATCTCAGCTCCAATCGAATCACCAAGTTGCCCAACACAACCTTCATCCACCTCATCAACCTCCAGATCCTGGACCTGTCCTTCAATCAGATGACATCATTGGAACCAGAACTGTTTCATGGACTAAGGAAACTCCAGATACTCCACCTTCGCTCCAATTTGCTTCGAACCACACCTGTCCGAGCTTTCTGGGACTGCCGTAGCCTGGAATATCTAGGCCTGAGCAACAACCGTCTTCGAAGTCTAGCCCGAAATGGCTTTGCAGGACTCATTAAGCTAAAGGAGCTCCACTTGGAGCACAATCAGCTGACCAAGATCAACTTGGCCCATTTCCCTCGCCTTGTTGCCCTACAGTTTCTCTATCTGCAGTGGAATAAAATCAGCAATCTATCGTGTGGCATGGAGTGGATCTGGACCACTTTAGAGAAGCTAGACCTCACAGGAAATGAAATTCGAGTTCTCACACCTGATGTTTTTCAGACTCTGCCTAATTTAAAGATTTTACTTCTGGATAACAACAAGCTAGGCAGTCTGGATCCACAAGTCCTGGATATGTGGCAGTCTCTTGGCACCATTGGGCTGTCAAGCAACCTCTGGGAATGTACCAAAAGGATTTGCTCCCTGGCTACTTGGCTGAGCAGCTTTAAAGGAAGATGGGAACATTCCATTCTCTGCCATAGTCCAGAATATGCTCAAGGTGAGGAGATACTTGATGCTGTTTATGGATTCCAGCTTTGTCAGAACTTTTCTGCCCCAGTTGTTCAGACCGTTACGACAACGACAGATGCTTCTACAGCTACAGAAATCACAAGCTCCTTGTTTGGAATTATGCAGCCAACTCCCACACCAGACTATGCAGAGGATTTTGGGAGCTTTACCACAGTCACAACAACCACAACTACAACACAAACAGCACCCACTGCGCAAGCAACTACTTTTACAGTGGAAGAGGCAGCTGTTACGGATGACTTCTCGTCAATGGACAACACTGTTATGACTCATAGGGTTATAATTGGGACCATGGCCCTTCTATTTTCATTCTTTTTCATCATTTTTGTTGTGTATATCTCACGGAAGTGCTGCCCTCCCACCCTGCGCCGGATACGCCACTGTTCAGCTATACAGAATCGCAGACAGATGAGGACCCAGCAGCGGCAGCCTATGGCAGATCTAGCCACACAGGTACCCTATAATGAATATGAGCCCAGCCATGAGGAGGGGGCACTTGTGATCATCAATGGCTATGGGCAGTGCAAGTGTCAGCAACTGCCTTACAAAGAGTGTGAAGTATGAACTCTTATTTATTCCTAGAGCATACAGTTTTCCATTTGACCATTTCAAATGATACAGGGTTTGCTTTTGTGATTTTTTTTTTCCAGTTTATGTAAAAAGGTTACTTTCTACAAGTACGATCTGAGAATATACAAGAAAAGTAGAATGCTACAGTGACAGGGGATAGATGTGAACGTTTAGGGATGGAGTCGTGATAGTCACAAATTTATTTTTCTATGAATGCAAAGATGTTCATATCAGGCAGGGGGCAATCATTTTAAACAAGAAAATTGTAAACTGTGAGATTTGTCTCATTGTCATCTCTATATTCCGCAGCACAGAGAGAAGACATAGGCGAACGGCCCCATGCATATAAACACATTAAGAGTCGTGATTTGTGTCCAATTTCTTTAACACAGTTGATGTATAAAAATCATGTTTCTAAATGCACCATGAACATGCAAATTGATCACACGAACACTGGGTACATGAAAAGGTTTATAGTTTCACTGTTTTATTTTGGAGAAACATGACACATTAAAGCTGCTAAGACCAAATTGATTTCAGAGTTGAAATTTAAAAAGTAAATGTTAAATTGTTTTGTATCTAAATAAAAGATATCTTCAGAAGAGGCTTATTTGAATCATATTTGTTTTGCCAAAACAGACACAGTCATTTAAGCAAACTTATAACCTTCTATTTTGTGTAGATTATCCAAAAAATAAATAAAGTTTATTTGTGTTCCTTCAAAAACTTTTTTTTCTGTGTGCAAATGCATCTAAAAGCCTGTACTAATCATAACACTGCCAGAATGGTAAATTTATATTCAATTAGATAAATTGGAAAAATGACCTCTTTCATCAGATGTTAGCTCATGAATGCAAAGCTGTTTTGCAGCCAAAGCTCATGTTGTAAAGATATTGGAGCTCCCACTCACAGGAGCCGACTGCCGCAAATACATTTCTAAACTGTGGGACTGACTCGGCATTGTACTCCAGTGGTTAATGTCTTACGCTACAATGCAAAGTACATTAATATCTTTTTGACCTTGGACATAAAAAATACCAACATTCAAACTTTAAATGTACCGTAGTTTGTACATTGATTCCCAAATGACAGGCACACTGTGACAACAACCACTTCAACAACTTCACCTAGTAAGTATGGTTTGATGATTCGCTATTATAAATGGAGATGGATACACAGTTTGAGATGAGAAAGAACAAGTGAGAAGACAAAAGAGAGTGCAAATACCAGCTAGCAGAGCTTTTTTCTCTGAAAATTAAACCTTTCCCTGTAGCCCAGCCTCTTAAATGCTTATACTCTAATCAGGACTGACAAGACCAAGATTGAACCAATTAGGGCAAGGCAAAAGAAATCTAATATTCTGTCACCCACCTCAGTGATCCAGCAACATTTAGCTTGTTCAGCTACTTAAAAATAGTTCTAGAGAAACACTGTCCAACTAATTCAAAATTGTTTTAGTGCTTTCTTCTTGGATACCGCTTATTACGTTTATTAAAATAGATCTCGACTGGAAAAAAAGTATTGAAAAAGTTCCTTGGTTGGCAGTTACAAGTGTCAAGTTCAATTGTGGTTAATACCCTAGACGCAAATGGAGGACCAGTAATCAGCAAACAGCAGGCCTGGGTCAGGAGACATTTGTATGCAGCAGAGAGAGGATGTGCATTAGCATCAGACTAAAGCTGCTGCCGCAGCTCCTCACTTCTTTGTGTCCAGTTTGGTAGAGGGGGCAGGGCGAGAGGGAGGAGTAAGGAGGAATTGATGGTGGCACGGAAAAGAGCAACTATGGTGAGATGTCGTAGTTCATCAAAACCAATAAGGATCTCTCATACCGAGTGAAGATGGCAAAAAAGGAGGGATGATTAATGTGGACTTGCAACACCTGAGCCATGGAATGCACACTCACCACGGCAACACCATTTGTGTTCATGGTGATGGCCTTGTCAATGTTCAGTTGAATAAATATATTAATGTAAAAATCCTAAAAATCCCTGTTTAAAAACACTGCCCACAGTTTATTTTAGCAATGTTCTGCAGGTACAATTTAAAGGTTTAATAATGACCACTGTTGCTTGGAGCCTGAAAAGTAGCCAGGAGTAGCACATCTGACTGGAACCTTCTAAACAAATGTTTTTGTCAAAGTTCTTTTCACCACATACTCCTAGAATGCATACAAAGTCTCGATAGTTGTGAAAAAAAAACATGTTACATGCTACATTTGAATTGAAAACAAAGCTGTACATCTCCATTTTGTGTTTAATTTGACTTTCCTCTTCTAACTTTACTCTTTGCCCTTCAAATCTGTCTTGCATGTTCAAAAGTCAAAATTATGTTGAATATTTCTTACTGTCATTCAGCAAAACACCTTGGAAAGACTTTATTTTTATGACAACAACAAGAATGGAGTTATCTGTACAATTCCAATAAAAGTTTTGTCAATAATTTGAAAATTCACCATTTAACACTATCGTTGTATTGAGTGACTGCGAGGCCACACAATTTGTAGAATTATGCATCCCTTTGCACTCTGGCTCTTTGTAAAATGTTTTGTTTACTCTTGTTCATCTATAGCCTTGGTCCTTCATTGCTCAAAAATAAAAAATAAAAAATAATTTAAAAACACAAAAAAAAACCCCAAGTAAACCAACACTTACCTAACCTCTTTGTGCAAACTGAATGCTTTTCTCTTCCCATTCCTTTTGTATTGTAAAATGTACATTTTCATATCTGTATATTGCAAAAGATGTGCCAAACAGAAAAAAAACTCACTTCCCCCTCAAATCATATATTTTTTTTAAATAAAATGGTTATCATTTACAGAGTGTTTGCCACATGATGGATGCTCACAACCTTGCTGTATAAAAATCAATACACTGTTCAATCAACAACTCTGAAATGCACGTTCTGTCAACTATCACACAGTGCACTTATCTGGTAATTATTGTTGAGGCAAACGGTTTAAATCAATACAATGAATATCAATTCTGAATGATCCTTCACCATCATACCTCACATCAATGCTGCAATTGTCTCAGGTTTCAAGGTGATGATCGACACTCAGCTTAGACTAAAGTCTGGGACTTAACTTGCCTTCCTGATTATGCTGTTTTCAATCTAATATTATTAGAAGTTCTAGCAAAACTACACTAATATTATTAGAAGTTCTAGCAAAACTAAAAAAAAAACACAATATTGAACTAAATTTTCCACATATTTTGTCCAAATCAAATGATTGGTCACAAAATCCCTACAGGCGTCTTTTTAAAATTCAGATCCCCATTTCTTTTCTCTCAATTAAATAATTTTGTCAGGCCAATTTCTACTCATAATACATTTTTTTTCCACATGGGACTAAACTGAGTACTTTGAACTTGATCATTACCTACATTCAGTCTATTTCCCTGTATGAATGCAGACTACAAACAACATCTTAAGAAAAGCGGTGCTGAACACCTCTGGTAGTCCCTTTACTAGATACTGCTATTAGTTTCATTATAACAAGTCAAGGTTTCACAGGTTTTCTATTTCTGCAGTCGTATTGTATTATAACAAGTCAAGGTTTCACAGGTTTCCTGTTTTCTATTTCTGCAGTCGTATTGTGTTCCATCCATTTTGTCTCAATAATTAACTGAAATCAAAGTCATATTTCTATGATGACATCTTCAAGGATGAAAAAATGTTATTCAACGTTACACTGTCACTGCTCGTTTCTTCCTGCTAGCTCTGATGCGTGTGATGCCACATTTGGCAAAAAAAAAGAGCCGAAAACAAACTGGCAGTTGGAATGCTAGGAATTGACAGTGTTTTAAAGCACATTTTTGCCTGGTCAAAAACCTGAGTGGCGCTTCTAATTTCTAACAAAAGCACAATTCTGGTGTAGCATTCAACCGTCAAATAAATGTTTCTGGGTTTCCTTGTTTTTCCATAGTAAAGGGAATTACACTCTAGCCTTCAGTTGAAGTCACTTTTTAAAAAAAATAGGAGCACTAGTGTAAGTTGCAAATATGCAACTATAAATTAAAAAACCTATAAATATGATTATAAATATAATTTGGCATTATCTACTGGGAAAGAAATCTAAGGCTGCACAACACTGAAGTCAAACCTTAATGATTTTTAAGGCATTGACATCCATCTCAAATGTCTTTTCTTATTTAACTCACACTGTCATCACACTTTTAGGAACATCAGCGAAGTGGAACATGGCAAGTATCGTCTCTGTAAAACAAAATCATCATGTAAACATAAACGACTGACTGGTTCAAGTTAAAGTACTAAAAAGGAAATTGCGAAATCTTTTTAATCTGAGAGATAAATTTGCGGTGAGGATCACGGGCTGCCTATCTGGACGCATTTAGCACTTCAAGTTTAGCTTCTCTTTTTTGATGAGGCCTACAGAAAACACATAATTAACCTACAGAGTGTACACAGGCGGGGGAGGCACTAAACTGATGAGTCTGACTGTGGGGTCTAAGTGGTCTGGAGGGTTCAAGGACTCAGAGCTCGTGTATGCCTCAGGTATTCATTATAAGACCTCCAATAAATCCAGAAAACGCTTAGGGAGGGTCTACTGATATGGACCAACAGCAAAATTAAAATCTCCTAATGTATTTATTGCTTAAAACATTTTATTCCAACTTGTACAGTAAAATAGAATAACTGATCATTTTAAAAGGATGCCACTACAGCAACCATGTTGATTCCTTTTGATTGTTGATAGTTCTTATGATGATTTTACCTGCACAAACGCAGGAGGGCAGTTTGTCGAGACGCGGCTCAAACGCACCCTGTTTAGGAACTGTGAACAAAAGGACAACAACATCTATCTACTAGCAGGACTCATCAAATTACCCTAAATTCACCAGCAAGAGATCAAGGTCCAGGTCTGGAAAATGTTGCCTGACAGGCTGTTACAGACAGACTTGTGTTTTATGGAGGCTGTAAATACACGTAAAGCCTTAGGGACACTAAATCTTGTCCCTGTTACATTGTGTGCAGTGCAATTTGTTTTAATTATGCATTTAGATGAGATTACAACTAGATAAATTTAACCCCTTTCACTTTGGTCTTGCACAAGTCTAGTGGTGTCTAGGTGGTTTCGGTTTGGTCATGACTTAAGAAGTGTCTGTTTAATAAAACGAATAACCGGTGTATTTTTATTCCAACATAATATAAATTGTTCATAATTCTGTAGAATCTGAGAGGGAAAGTATGTCTAATTGTCATTAAGTTAATTAGATGGTGATTTTTTTAACCCCTATGTTATAAAAAAAAGGACTTACTGAATAACAACATTATCAACTAAATAGAACTGAGTTGCCCAACACACACACAATAGAAAAAAAGACACTGCAATCATTAGTGGGTTCAGTGTGCCTTCCTTGCTCATTTGACGGAAAATCATTCATAACGTTTTGTCATAGCCAACTCAGCCTTATGCATCTTGAGAGAAATACTGTATTGAAAACAACAACAACATTAACTGAGAAAGGACTAACTGTGAAGTCATGTGGTTCTGCTGAAACAAGCAGAATGGTGTGTGTGTGTGTGTGTATGCGCTGCAGCAACCAGCTAATTTCTTCCTCATGAGTCTCCCACCTACATTTCATGAAATATTATTGGTGCACTTGAATAAAACTTAATCTACTGCCAAGTTTTTTAGCCTATTTTTTTTCCTGTAGTGTATATTCTATATGAATCTCAGGACATACAACCAACTCATATATGTATAGGGGAATAGGGACCAACAGGAGAAAGGGATAGAGGACGGAGTTTCTGAAGCTGAGGGGGAAAAAAGAAAAATTACAGAATTCACCATAAGCTGAGAGACAACAGGCAAGTGAATCAAAAGTCTACTGCAGCGCGCTGAATGTCCTTTTTATGCGAATGTCCAAACGATAACGTATCACTTTAAGTTGAAGAAATTTAAATGTCAGGAGCCTAATATGTCATAGTAACCTAGCATTGCTCTCTCATGTAAAGCAAACCCCTGACAGCAGCTGGGAACAAGAGATGCATTATTAATAAAATGTGGCAGAAACAGTTAGACTCCACACATACCATGCCAAACTGTCTTGACAATATAGAATAATTGAGGTCATACTTTGTGGCAGTGCTGGGCCAACATTACCCTCACCCGCTTTTCCCCTTCAACGGCTGAGTGCACAAGTTCTCGTCGTATTAAAGGGTGATCTCAATACAGTGTGAATGTAAATTCTACTCCAGGATTGGAGTCGGGAAAACAGTCATCCAACAAATGTATGCACTGTCCATGTTAAGAATACAATAGCATATCTTTTTCCCCCCAATTTTAGTCTTCAATGTCAAACCTGAGTTTGACAGTACAACTCTTGGGTATAAATGTATTTGATTTCATCCTGAAAAATAGCTAGAGTTCCTCAATTAAAATAAATATAATAATAAAAAAGACCTCTGTATAAAATAAACACAGTTAAATGGTACATATCCTGAAACGGATCTTCTTTTATTAATATGAACCCAGTAAAATGTTTTTTTTCTTGTGAGTTTCAGAATGGCTACCATAAACAATCCACTCACTGCAAAAAAAAAACAAAAATGCAAAGAGAAAACAGTCAACCGTATATTTAGTTAGTACCAAAACATTGTAGGGTGAAAAAGGATCAACATAACCGTCTCTGACACAAGCTAATCTCATCCATGTTTTCCCAGGTAACCTTTATTTGCTGTTTTACAACAGCATCAGCGTCTGCTTTCACAAACAACACCTTCAGTACAGCCAACACATTCAACTATTTTAGTTTTTGGATTTTCTTTCTTTCTTTTTTTTATAGTGAAGCATTCACAAGGCTGAAAAAGATGCACTCGTTCTCAGTATGAAGTCCTGGCACCGAGTTGAAGACGCAGGCATATTTAAAAGTAAATTATTAATGGACGACTTTCAAAGGCAAAGCCAAAGACAGAGCGGCAGCTTCCCAGCAGACATGCAGAAGACACACAGCAGGCCTGCGCTTTCTGTGTGAACAACAAAGGTGCAAGAGACCCAGCGCATCAGCAAAGTAGATGTCACGCACAGCACAGCCATCCACTGTGGCCGAGGCGTAACATCTGCTTATGGCACTGAGCCGAAACACCAGCTACTGATGCTGACTATATCTAACAACAGGTCTTTGGAGCCTACCATCAAAGAGAGCAAACAGACAATTTACAAGTGTATGTAACCACAAGAGGGCCGTTAACAGGACTCAGCTGTCTACCTGAACCTGAAGGACCTCGGACACTTTAGAAGAAAGGAATGCACCCCTTTTCTTGCAAAAGACAGCATATAGTACGAGAGGAGTTTAAAGACACCATTTACAAAAATCTAAAAATCACCATGCACATCGTGAATGGTCAGGACCTGCACCTTTAATCAGTATTCTGGTATTAGAAGCCAACTATTAGGGGTTTTTGAAGCAGTCATGCCCTACATTTTCTCAATTTCCATTAGTACAAGGTCATACTTTGAGTAACAGTGAGTACTCCAAAATTCATATTTTCTGCAATTCATCAAAGCAAAAACCATCTTCACAGTGAATATTTCTGCCATAAAGTCACTTTTGCGGATTCACTCAAAAATCTACTGAATACGTTCCAGTGACAATGCATGGAGCATTAGGCTGAGTGCCAGGACGAGATAGAATAAATTTAGGTGCAGAGAGAACACCAATTTGCTCACCTTATTAAGCAGGCTGGCTTAGGCCATTGACCGGTTCTCTGCTAAAACAAATACTCTAGCTGGGCAGCCATGCAGCGGCTCTGCCGGTCCTAAATTGGACCGTGTAGGATGTAATACTTTATAAAAGCCAGGTTTTTCTTTTGGCTAAGGCAGGCCAATAAAATAGTTATACTATAAATAGCACAGTAACAGCAATTATTTAAATAGGCAGGGATTAACTGAAGCCAGATTGACATTAGAGCCCTGCATGTGAAAAATAATGTAATTAATGTGTCATTCATCCGTCAATCATTTTTCTGTGATTGCTATTCAGAAGCAACACAGAACGTTGTGCCTGGAATGTTTGAAACACATGGAATATGATGTTCGGGAGATTTAATATTCTTTGTGATAGAACCTCGACATATATTATAAGAACAGAGATACCGTTTTAACAATTTTTTTTTAGTAATAGGTACGGACATAGGAGACAGAATGTATGGTTGTACTGGACATTAAAGTGAAAGAAGACATTGATATTTCCAACATTCCAACTATTAATACAGAATGTATGGTTGTACTGGACATTAGGTCATAAGTATCATAACTGTCATAAGTGAAGGAAGACATTGATATTTCCAACATTCGAACTATTAATAAGCAAGTTTTTTTTTTTATATTTCAATCCATACAGAGCAGAAAAAGGTCTAAATGTGTCACACACCCAGAAAATAATTGCATTGCCATTTGGAAAACAAGAAATTGAAAACAGCTTTATTCGCAATCTGTTGTTTTGGACCCCTGCAGATTGCAGTCTGCAGGATAAAAGCCAGGAAAAGAAGTTCTACCAAATAATCAAATGACATCCATTGTTTGTGAACAAATCACTGAATGGCTGACCAAAATAGAGAATGCTGTTGAACTGTGGATTAAGACAGAAAGTATGGCAAAAGTGAAGCAAAGCAAAGGTAAAACACTTACGTTGCCCATGTACTCAGACAGGAGGTCCTGAAGAGCCTGGCGCACAGAATTGCATTCAGCCACAATGCGCTCCCTGCGGTCATCACGTGTGCATGAAGAGTCGGCCATAAGGGCAGCACCACTGATAATGCTCTCAAGTCGCTCCTCCAGGGAGGGTCGGAAGCGCTCCTCAGTAAACGCCAAGGGGTCCACGATGATTTGTTTCTGTGAGTAAAGGGCAGAAGGGAAATTACACAGGGAGAACAAAGCCAAAAGTCATTGTGACATAGTTATTTCTCCTTCTCCAAAACCCAAGGAGAGAGGTCTGAGGAGCATGTGGGAGGTGGATTTGACGAGACTGACACTCTGGATGGAAACCCTTTAGGAAACGGAGGTGGTGTGATTTATTTTTGTGTCTGTGGAACACCAAGCTTAGAAAAATTCCTTAATGGCATCCTAATAACTGTATTTTTAAGAGAAATATATTTTTCTGAGATCCAATAAAAACAGACCAAGAGCAATGGCTTATTGTGGAAAGAAAATGAAAACAAATGTTAGATTCCATTAACCATAATTCCAAAAGAAATGAAAAGAAAATAAATAAAATAGTTTTTCTCCTGATAAATTACTTTGCAAAAAAGTAACCCTTAAGAGTTATAAAATTAATTTGAGGCAGTTTATTAAAAAAAAATCAAAATGTATAAATGGGCACATTCATTTTCCCAAAAGAAATTGTAGCTGACAAAGGTTATAAAGTTATTTTGCTGAGAGTAAAAAAAAAATCAAAATGAAGTGAAATAATCCACCTTCCATGACAAACCCTTCATTACACATCAGTTGCCGTTAGTTGTAACCAAGGCAACAGATGTGTGTGAGTTGATAAGTATGTTTCATTTTAAATTCAGCAGAATTTGAAAAAAACATTAAAGATCAGGTACTGGCTTCGTGGTATTAAATGTACCATGTCCAACATAGCTTACATACTTGACTAAAAACAAGAAAAATCTGTTTAATTTAACCTCATTAGAAGGTCAAGGTTGGTGAAGACGTAGTGAAAAAAACTTGTTGATCTTAATAGAATTTAAAAGGACTAATGTAGTACAAACTGCAGTCTTGTATGAATATAAATCAACAATCATTCAGTAAAAGTATTTGACAATCTCCGGTGGTAAAGTAACTGACTCAACCCTCTCTGATATGGGCATGATGAGAGAGAGAGAGAGGACCTTTAAATGCCTCAATCCACGAGGCCATGCCTGCTCAGTGCTGAAACTGTTTGACATGCAAGAGGGATAACTGCGGGGGGGTTAAGATATCACTGTGATGCTTGTGGTAGTGAAAGAAAGAAAGAAAGAATTATTCTTTCTCCTTTGGGTTTTGTGCTCCTGCGGATGTCTTATTACCAAAAGAAAAAAAAATATATTCAACAACTCAGAACATTGGACTCTATCACATCCACCTCCAACCCCCTCCATTCCGTCTCATCTGACCTCCTCTGCTTGCGTGTGATATCACCATGGCAACAGGCACAAGAGGGAGAGAGAGAGAGAGACACGGAGGATGATACGGTGGGGGAGTCATGCTAATTTTGCCATGCTCTTCAAGGAGCTAGTCAGCAAAAGGTCTGCATTCAGGACCTGAGCGATTCATTTCATCTGCAGTGAACAACTAGGTAATGAGTACCACGGCTGATCTCCGAGACAGCATTGTTGTCCCTTTTTCACAGGCACGTTAGACATTAGACATAACCTGTGCTCTTAGCACAACCAGTACAATAAGATACAGTATGTCAACCATGGATTTTCTAAGGGATATTACCCAGTAGTCACAGCTCAGGGATCTTATCTTGTATCAGTAATAGGAGGTATGTATAACAGTGCCTTTGTGCTTTGACAGGGAATAATTGATGTCCTGGTTAAAAAAAGATCTTGAATTAATATTTGCGTCAACATTTAACACAGAGTATATTATAATTTCTTCTGTGCTCGCTCCACTTTTTGAGAAGTACTGATTTAACCTGATCAGAAGTCTGGTTTAGGCAGTGACTGTGGCAGTGTTTGAGACATGCAGACATGAAGAAACCTGCCTTCAAGATGAGTCTTGGTGCCAGGGGGAACTGGTTCAGTGAGCTTTGGGCAGTTAGTCTCCACATAAACACTGAAACTCAAACGATTGTGAAATACAGCTGCCTTACAATATGTTTAAAAGTCACAGATATTTCTACTGTGGTTGTATTTCCTGTAAGGGCGCCTCCTGTTTCCATCTTTAAAGTTTTGGATATAACTATTCCACCAATGTCACATCAAATGACCACAACCGACACGATCAAATCATAAAAATGTGAACCTTTGGACTGATGCCTTTACATAAACCTCATTTAATCACACCAGGTTACGTCACCTTGTGTGTCACTTTTCAACTTCATCTACCGAAAACTTGACTTTAAAATTACCTGAACCCAAAGAGAAACTACCTATTTGGTGACTCACATCAAAATTGTTGAGGGCGTAGGCGAGCTCTCCACCTCCTGCGGGGTGACTGAGTGCCGAGTCCTCAGTGGCAGTGGCCTGAGCCGCATTGGAGATTCCAGAGACTGCATGCTGCAGCTGCTTGTAGATCAGGTCACGGTTGGCCTTGTAGGCAGCCACGTCAGGGTGCTGCAGGCAGGCACGGGACGCTGTGTACAGCATGGGTATGTTTCTCTGCAAAACACCACGAGCGGCAGCCATCTGGTCCTTGTGTTGGACGTCTTTTAGTTCCTGGGAGAGTAAGTTTATGAAAGAGTTAAGACTATTTTTTTTTTTTCAATGGTGTATAAAACACAAACAGACAAAACAGAAAAAGCCTTTCATGCTCTTGTAGGGACAGTTAAGTGTGGCAGGGTTTGTTCTGGATGACCCAGATTTTATTCTTTCCCCTGCAGTAACACCACAGTCCTAATCAGGCCGTTATAATATGCTTCTACAATTGAAGGTGTTGCCTTACCAGCATCTACGTTATAAGGTTTTGTCTTATGGAGATGGTGGGAACAGATTCTGAAAAATAGTTTGTACTAAAAAACATAAACATCTCTGCTTAATGAAACTATCACTGGGCTGTTTCAGGTTTGTGCTGAGAAACATGAATATCTAGAGACGAAAGGTGTTATTACAAGTGAACGGATTGCTTTAAAATCCCAATGAAATCAAAAAAGCAAACTAAATTGGAAGATAGTTTTAAAAAAAGTATTTCATATATTGTCAATAGTAGAGGGCAGACATTGCCTTGCCTTTAGATATGATTATGACATGGCATATTTTTTATGACTTTACAGAGTGTTTTTTCCCCAGGCTAGGTATTGATGAAAGGAAAGTCAGGCCGCCATGTTTTCTCTAAAGCCTTTCAATAAGCTCAAGGTCTGCACTGCGTGGTGGCCGAACCATGTGTGAAAATGCTGACTCATGCACCGTGGAGAACTCTTTTAGCACATTTTTACCCTTTTGATGTTCAAAATATATTCATGTATTCAGCCACAGCTGTCACTGGTGTGGGCGAATATAAGAAAACACTGATGGGCAGTGGTCGGATCACAGTTTTTTTAACCACAGCCGTTTAATGTAAGTAAAATGAGGACGTGACCCCTAAGCTCCTATATTGTACAATCAAGTGAGTGACATTCATTAAACCCAGAAAGGGGGAAAGAAAACCATGTCATAAGTGCATGCTAAGTCATAAGTTAATTGTTTCAAAAGCATTTGCAAATACTTAAAGGTCAGCAGAGACTGAATCAGGAGTATTGTGTGAATCAATGCACATGACCACTGGCTATGGTCAATTTATCTAATTACTACCACTTCAAACTATTCAGAGAAATTACATGTAAATCATTAGTATGTTATATTATATTCTCAACAACATTTACCAGCCATTTGGACCTTGAATGTATTCACTAACTAAAGAGTAAAGAGTTAAATGTTGGAAGTTAGTTATTTGTATTTTGGTTGTGAAAATAAACAGAAATGTCATATTTGGGAATGTTGATTTATCTTGACTAATCATGATTAATTGTGAATCATTTTACACAGCTGTACAGTAACCTAAACGTACATTGTTTCTGGTCAGCCTTAAAAATGTTAATATAGCTAGAAATGCACAACCGCTAAAACCCAAGTGGGAAACTTGTTATTGTTATTGCCAAAGCTTGTTACAATAAAAAAAAATATGTAGACTCTAACACCTTCTTCATAAAATATGTATGCTCATATATTTCCAGCTCACCTCTGCACAGTTGGTAATTGATTTTTTTTACATTTTTATACATAGATTGTTTAGGCTTAGAGTCAAGCTAAAGAGTGAGACACACGCTGGCTTTTCTTCATAGCGCTTCTAAATTTAATCTCAAATTCAATTTATTGCCAATCCTCCACTAACTATTTATAACTTTCTATGAGACTATAATACTCCACTAACTATTTATAACTTTCTATGCAAATATAAAAACAAAAGACTCTTCTGCTCCACATTCTCAGATCATCTGCCTGTTTCTTACCTGCTGTCTCTTTGCAGCCATGATGTTAAGCTTGTCCACTTCTGGTTTCAGCGCTTTGTATTGGATCCCCAGGTCTTGCTCCGTTCCTGCATTGCGCACCTTTACCAGACTGTCCTCCACCTGAACGGATATACATGGAAAAGGTTGTCAGAGCCTAGATTAATGAAAAGGTCACAAACGGCTGGAACTAAGGTCTAAAACTCTACGGCACATTCCAACCAGCTATGACACGTTTGAGATCTTTTTTTTCTAGATATTATATGACTGCTGGAGTTGAGATCTTTTTTTTCTAGATATTATAAGACTGCTGGAGTGTTCCTAACTAGACACAAATCTTTTAAAACTGAAACAAATTTAAGGCTTGGAATTAATACTTGCAATAGGCAAATAAATTGAATTCTGACCAGTTTCAGTTGCAGTAGAAGTTTGTAGACGTCAGACATGTCCGCCAGCACCAGCAGATGTGTGACTGCTGAGAGGAGGGCTCTGGCAGCACGAACCATGTTGCCCCGCTTCACAGAGGAGCAGGGGTCTTCGGCAAATTCTCCAGAAGCCTGGCGCATCGAATCACCTAAGAGTCATTGACAGAACAAGCAACTGCTGTAACTCCAACGCTGGTAATAAAATAATTAAGAGACTAAAGTACAACAAAAAAGGATGACCAAAAGTAGGCCTGGTTCTTTTTATATTTGATTAACAATATTATACAGTATGATATTAGGTATTGCTCCGACTTAAAATAATTAAAAAACATCCACAAACCTGCAAATAAAAAGTGAATACTGAGACCTAACCATGGAATCTTACCACATTCGAATAAATGTTAGTGAATCACGGTCCTATGTAGCTGCAGTATTTGGCTGTAGCGACACTAGCCGAAGCATTACAGACAGCTGGCTTGTGTGTACTGTCAGTCCATCTAGGGGATATTTCCATCACAAGTCTCCACTTGCGTTAGCAATCAGAGAGAGGCGGCTGCCTGACTAACTTGACCGACTCTGGTCAGCGTGCGTCACACAGATCAGTGGACAAACACAAAGACAAGCACACCTTTTCAATGTCCAGTAATTTTGGCGTGAAAATGGACATGCATGTGGTGTTCTAAAAAAAAAGCAGTTCAAGGTCACGACAAAAGGCTTTCTGTCTGGTTTGTCTAGTACTGGGCTTTGTCCTACATAGTGTCTGCACAGTTGACTGGGCACACAAATGAGCTTTGTAGGCTCACATTATGAGCATGAGCCTAAATCCGTTGACACTTTATTTCAGCGCAAGCACAGAGGGTTGTTGTGTTAGCACCGCCTTGTCACACTCATCACAGAATAAAACTCATTAAAGCATCACCCAACATACACATGGACCAAGTCTATTCTCTAGGGTGATGATGGGGTAGTTGTTAACTTTTTCATTGCCTCTTTTCTTGCTTTTCAGCAAGAATTGGTAGATAATGGTAATTTGTTTATACACGAGAAGTTTCTTGCCTCATCAGCTGTGGTTAGCAGAGGAATAGTTAGTATACTGGCAGCAGCTGTGAGCAGCAATAACACTACCTTAAACACAGTTGCACAAAATCTGAAGTATCAGGAAATTTACAAAGTTGTCAAATGAAAATAGCAGGACGTTCTAAATGATTCACAAACCATTTCAGCATTAACTGAAAACCTTCATCCATATGCCACTAATATATATAAATAAAAGCTTCAATCATTATTGTTGGTAAAAAAAAGCAGTAGCTTATTACATTAATTAACGCATTCAAAGCACTATAAATTCATACTAATTCCTGAAATATATCGTTTCTAAACTTGAGCTTCAATCATTATTGTTGGTAAAAAAAGCAGTAGCTTATTATTACATTAATTAACACATTCAAAGCACTATAAATTCCTACTAATTCCTGAAATACAGGAAACTTACTGTAATAGTATCAACAGCACTATTTGCCAGTGTTTATGTAAGACACTAAGAAAAGTAATTCTGAGGTTGGTGAACTGCAGCTTAACACTGAAAAAGTACATATTTTTTACAGTAATATAGAACAGCTGATTAATGGACCATTGTATTCTTTATTAGCAAGTGCTCTTATTTTATGTCCTGTTTTATTTAAAGTCTTACATTTTTATGATCCTATCATATAATGCCAATTTTCTATTCAATAATGGGAAAAAAGGCAATTATTATAATAAGATTTTAGAGTGATTACGCTGATACCTCAAGAAGGGAAGCAGAGCAGTTGTACGTGACTGACAACACAGCCCTCAAACACAGTTTACACCTCCAGGCTGTTATTCCCTCTGTTGACAAATCAATAAGGCCATTTTCAGGGGCAGATAGTGATCAGCGCTCCTTTAATAAACTTCAATCCATCTCACGCTCACCTACAGCTCGCCAAGTAAATGATGAAATGATTAAAATGTATCTCCTACAATAAGTCCTCCAAATAAAAGGACATCACAGGCTGAACAGGGAGGAAAAGGAAGGGTATTTAAAGATAAAGGTCTAATAAAAACAATAGTTGGTGGCTGGGACATTATTGATTTCAATTCAAAATTAGACCCGTGGTCTTTGAATTGGTTCATGAACAACAGTGACATTATGTTGATATGTTTTAAATGTAATGGCCACAAACAAGCTCAACAATTCAACATGTTTAGTCGGGATAACAAAGCCTTAAGGAATTAGGGTAACGTGAGAGAGTTCTGAGCCTTAGTTGCAAGACGTGTGTTAGACAGACGGCCTGTGAACTCCCAAAGAGCTACATTATTTAATGGTTGACTACAGATGTCTCATAAAAGGTCAAAACAAGAAAAACAGTGTGGGAATGTGTAGTTTTGGAATTAGATAAAACACTTCACATTTTCAAATCTCAATCATTGGTGTAACATTATTTTAAATAATGCAGCAATGTCTAAATTATATTTTTTAATCAGCTGCATAGATACAACAGGATGGAAAATATTTCCTGCATTCAGCGAGATGGGGGGTGGGCTCTGCTCAACGGCCTTATTATCAGTCTAGGCACATTCCTCTTAGCAGCATGGCATAGCTGACAGCTAGACCTAGGCACAACCTTCCACAGTCATTGAATTCCAGCCCAGTGACAGGCACAACAGTAACATTCCTGGACACTCAGCACTGCACAAGCTATCTGGCAACATGTCATCCACCTCTGAACAGCTCAGAGCCGTAATCGAGTAAGGGACATAGTATAACTCGCCAGGCACCAGGGGAAAAGAGACAGAGACGCAAATGCCACCTCACAAGGTGATAACAGCCACTCTCAAATCACAGCTCCCTGGTCTCAGTGGTATGCTGCAGACATGTTGCAGACAAAAAATAAATACTCATTGCAACGATTTTACCACTGCTTAACACAAAACCATTTTCACACATTTGTCGCTGAAATAATCATTCATTACAGTTGACCTGTATTTCATCAATTTAAATGAATAGGCCAATGTGAGACTTCCACAAACGCAGAAGAATCAGTGACTTTGTTGACTTTATAATGAGGATTTCAAAAGAGTTTCATTGGGCAGGTTCACAACTGACCTACCATACAAATGCACACAATTAGTCATTAAAGCCTCTGTGATCTCCTCAAAAATAAAGGTTATGAAAATATTTTTTATTTGATAACTAAGAGACATTGGTGGTTCTTTGATTTAAAAAAACAAGCAGAAACTCCACAACCTGTCCTGAATACATTCTGCATTTATTGCTGACAAAAATTCGATTGTGTCACTGTAAACAACCCAGCTCTAAGCCTAGTTCTACTAGTGAACAACAGGGCAGATGACATGAACACAGTTGTTTGTCATCAGTCCTATCTATATAGAAGCCTCACACAAGCCAACAACAACGTTCACTTGTTGTTTTTAAGTATACCTTGCTTGCGGACATCTTCCACGGCAGCTGTCAGCTCATCCTTTAGAAACTGGCTCTCCTTCGCAATCTTTTCTCCTTTCTCCAGGAAGTTCTGGGTAGCAGTTTCCACTGATGCAGCCAAAACATGAGCCTTTTTGGAACGTCCCTTCTTCTTGTTCGAAGGCCCTTTGTTGCTGGAATTGACCAACGTAGTGACCTATGCATGACAGGGATATAAAATGAGACAAATTAATAACAGCACCATGGGGATGTCAGTTTAGTTACTGTCACTTAGAATTAATTTAATACTTTATATATTACTGTCATTTACTGGAGACTGACACTGACAGACAGGTCAGCACAACAGAAGAGTTTTTCAGAAAGATGTCAGCATACCAACAACAATTTGGTCATAATTTTGCCACGTATCTCTCTCAGTGTAATGAAATATCTGTACAACCACACATTCTTTTTTTTACCTGTGTTACCAGAGGCTCGAGCAGCCTCTCCACAGCTAGAGTACGGATCTCTAGACTCTTTGGATCCCATTTGAAGTTGATGTTTGCTGTGTTAATGCTCGTCATGGTTTCTCGATATCTACAAAAAGTGGAAAGTTTAAAAGCTGATAAATCACAGGTTTTAAAAAGTAACATGAAAACACACAAATATGATTCAGTAGAAGTATGAAAACTTCTACCCACTTTCCTAGCAATGCTTCTTCAAAGTTAAACAGTGGTCCATTTTTTGAGCTCACTTTTCAGTGACTGACTGGAAATTCATTGATTTGCTATCAAACACAGAGGGGCAGGAATAATCAGCAAGCCCCCGTGGCTAACAGATTGAAACAGAAACAGTTGGTGATCTGTATTATTGAAACAAAATTGAGGTCTTCATAAGACTCTTCACCAAGAACCAAATAATATACAATCCTGAGCTTAAAAAAATGCACATTTAAATTTAAAGCATAACCCGCAAAATACAACTTTACACCTACATCATAGCTTTTATCTCCAGATATGACAATTGTGCACGTAAGATTTTACAAGGCTAAAATGTGTGTGTCTTTTTTGGTTCGAACTGCAGCTGGAGGGCCTTTTTGCATCACTGCTACTAACTGTGTCTTTTTTACCCAATAAGTACAGTATTTCCACTCACGTGACCCACTTACAGAAAAAAAGATCTTTTCTCTACAAAACAATCTTTCACATGGACCCTGTGGCCCAAAAGGGTGTGATTGTTTTTCTATTTATATGTTAACATATTCACATTACAATACTTTGTTTATATATAAATAAATGATTGACACATTAAAGGTAAAGGCTGATTGTGTAATATATCTCACTTGAGTTGGGTCATAGAGTAGAAAGATGGCACGGTGGTGCTCAACACTTTAAAAACTGAAATGCTCTTTGGCAAAATTATTACATTGACATACTGCTACACAACTCTTCGACACATACAACACTGCAGCAGAACTGTGAATTGTGTCAGTTTACTGTGATATCGCTGTTAAATCGACGTTTATCTCGCTCTGGGTGTGGCACAAACTTTCACGGAGATGGGTATCTATAACAATCTTGCTATACAACACGAAAGCTGTGTTCAGCGCTTCAGTTCAGATGTTTGCATATCAAGTGTGTAACACTGATACATAAAAATGACTGCAAAAGAATATCAAGACCAGAATATATACATTTTTAACAGTGGGTCAAATGCTAAGCTAGCCTCTCACAAACAGCGTCAGGTGGGATGACACCTGTTAAAGCTAACTTTAACTCAGGTACAGTTGACTAAAAATTGCAGAACTGGATAAGCAACAAGTATCTGATACCGTAATACATCTTCTTTAACACGATCCAGTTGGCATTCCCCACAATTTAAATAATCCAACGACTGTTACCTGCTAAACATACGCGTCACAAACGCTCCACCTTGCTAAAGCTAATGCTAACCGACAAAACAAACAGCAACGTTTGCGTCGTTGAATTACTTTGTGTTAGAGTGATTTTTAACTCGACTGTCATCATTTTAACTATTCAACACTGAGTATCGTTTTGTCGTGCTAAAAGAGTATGAATTAAATATACAGGTTATGAACTTAGCAACAATAGTCCACTCACGAACTGAAGTTTAAAAGTTCAAAATGGAGGAATGGGAAATACGGAATTTCTCGACTCTAAAGTTTTTCTTCCCCATTGTCCTTCCGCAGCTATGTCGGTTACATTCTGTGATATTGTCTTTTAAATCATACTTTATGGAATATTTGACAGACATACTCGGAAATGAAGGAATAACTTACCTGTAAAGTTTTGCCCAGAGATTGTTTCGATGTCGCAGGCTGTTTCCCAACAATGGATGAGGCGGAGGGTTGGTGGGGGGAGCGCGTCCGGGCGGGGCGGTGACCGAGTTCCTGAACTTCCACAGAGCAGCGGGGCAGGGCGACCACAGGCTACAGCAGGCCCGAAAAGCAGGAGGTGATCCAGGCGTGGCTCAGAGTCCGTGTGTCCATATATGGATTAATTAGAGCTTTCATTTAAAAGCATTGTGGGAGTATGGGGGCGGAGGGGTGACGCGAGTTTCTGCTTCTGTACAAATCCCAACAGCGAGTTTCACTCTGTCACGCAGGACATTTGCCTTAAAAGAATGGAAGAAAGAAAAAAAAACACATCAGACGAGCAGAAGCTTCTGGATGAGAGCACCGAAAATATAAAAGTTTTTTTTTTTTAGAAGTGTCAAAGTTTCTTGGATGAAAAATGAAACTGAAACTACACAGAGAGAACAAAAAGACTAGAGAATAAAGAGTTTTTTTGGTTGTCAAAACATGGTCGTTCTTTATTGCTGCCATTGTTACTTAGGTATTTGTTTAAAACCACCAGTTAGTAAGCTTTTGTATATTTTTGGGTCTCAAAAATTTTGAAGTAAATATCTCTATTGGATGATTTTACAATTTAAAATACACAATTTCCAATTACTACTTGCTAAATTGTGTTGGTAGGGTGTTTACAACATGTATACTTGGAATAATTTGTTATATTTCCTGCTTGTCACAAAAAATGACCAACAACAACCACAAATTCTAGCTTCTGTTGAGTGGAGAGTTTTATTATTATTGTAGTTGTTTAGTATGTTGACTTCAGTCAATGTCAGAATGTCGAGCGTTAATTATTTCAAGAGTTCACTTTCGTAAGATATTGGTTTGAATTTTGTCTGCGAGTACTGCATTTTTTATGAACCCCAAACTGGGCTTTATGTGTGAAATATTAAAGATGGAGCTGTTTTAAAAGCAGAAGTTAACAAGTAATAAATCAGGTGAAACATCAGATAAAACACCAGTGAGAAGATTTTTGTTCCAATGTGGTGAAAAATTACTTCCTACTTAAAACACCTTTGAGGCCAACTGCATATATAAACTGTATAAGTGTACTGCATACAGGGTCTCATTTCTGTAGTAGCTGCACTGATAACATTTTGGCATTTGATCAACATATCTAAGTGGTTGACATTCTCGTTTGAGCATAATGAAGTGTGGAAGCCGATAATAGATTCTCTGAAGAGGCCGGGTGCCACCCTTTACGCCTCAATTTTCTTTCTTACAAAAGCGCAGAAATTAGACACACAAAAAATACAGCAGTTGATTTGGTAACTACATTTTAGACAGACTGTGACACTGCTTTAATCCTTTCCAAAATATTATTTCATGTACTATGCAACATTGATTTGTTCCTAACCAGACACCACTGAGCATGTTGAACTTCAATATTATTTAAAAACATAAAACCAACTTGTGCAAAGGTGTTTTCTGTTTCTGGACTTTGGTTTTGACCTGGACAATTACAGTCCAATGGCTTAGTTGCGAGCGAATAGTAACAAACTAATCCTGCAGCTCAATAATCTGGATAAGCTTCCGCAATGCCAAGGTTTGAATGCAGTGTCAAAGAAGACACGAACAGCAAATTCAATGTTGAAGATACATAGTGACCTCACACAACAGTACTGTGTGTTACTAAGTAGAACAAATCTTTCCTTTCACCTCAATCACCTACAAAAAGTCCATTACAAAACGCTGAATTAAACCCACTTTGAGAATGACATTGTGAAGTGCCATCCATATAGGTCATGAAAGAAAAATGCTTTATACAAGAAAAGAGTCATCTGCACTTCACACTTGTTTCCCTGAGAAAAAAAATAAAGGAGAGCAACAACGACTGTTTTGTTATGCAGACAAGCAAGCAGCAGAAGTGCATGAATTACAGTTCTGATTAAAATGAGCTCACAAATGTACATTGTACTTATGAGGCTTTTAAACGAAGCCCCCACACCACCACGCAGAATATGATTAGTCTTTGGAAGGCTTGCCTAAATACTTTTAGTGCAACAATAATTTACAGAGTAATTGTTTCCTCCATTTCAGTCGTGTCAAAAATGAAGGGCCATGCATAAAATAGGCACATTTAATTCCGGCCTAAAGAGCAATATAACTGAACACATGATAGTGTGTAATGTTATTTACATTGAGAGCAGAGGCGGCTGCCACACGTACGGCATGGCGAAGATTTGTTTATGCCATTAATACGCTGCGGTGGTGAAAAGAATTGGATGTGGTGCGGCGGTGGAGTTGAATGATGAATGTGTGCTGGAGAAACAGCTTTGCTGCGAGGACAAGTTTGACTGTCCTTGAACTTCATCTCATGTACTTGTTGGGCCTGAGAAATGATAAGAGCACAGCGTACTATAAATAATTCCCACTCGTTAGGAGAAAGTGCACATGTTTGTCTCACGCTGAATGTATAATTGAGCGAATGCAAATGTAAGGCAGTTTTTGCACCCTAAAAAATAGGGGGAAAAATACTGAGTACAAGTTGTAAATTTTGCATAACAATCGAGGGACATGTACATGTTCTATATAGTATGGGATGCTGGGACAGCAGACTGAGGAAGGTAGTTGCCAAAGGACTTTCATCCTCTTTATGATGAACCAAAGACTCATCCCACCAAGGTCCTGGCTTGGAAACGTCAGACTCTTTTAGTCCCACCCACTGAGGGTCGTTATTATTATTAAACTTACTAGTTAAAATTTTTGCAAAATTCTGATTCTACTGCAAAGAATTCTGGTTGTCATCTTTACAATCCTTTAGTAAATCTCTGTAAATACTTTTCCAATATCCTGATTTACTGTGCAATATTCTGGCTATTTTCTTTTTAATTATTCTAATTTACTATGAAGTGTTTTATTCTATATGTTGTCAGACTGTATATAATTATGTATTATATATCTGTCCAGAAATCTGTCTAGTGTATATAAGAGAATAGAAAATGATCATGGCCACAGGCAAGCATTTTATTTTTCATAGGATTATCCTCTGCTGTGTTGACGACACGGCTGTTTCTGTGTCTTATAGCCTCCTGATGTATCAGTTACTCCTACTTTGACGTTGACCAAAGTGGAAGCCTCCTCTCTGTGGGAGGACTTTGTGCCCTGACATAAGAAACACAGTGGCTTTCGTTCATCTCCGCGTTCACCTGACTCACCCTGACAGCTGTCCACGGCGCTGCCTGATGTCATCTTCAAGCGCTCATTTCCCAAACACAAACTCATACCTCCACAATTAGAAAGCAGTGTGGTGCAACGCAGGCATCACTCATCCACAGCAACACCCGAGGGGTGGAGAGGAAAGTCAACAGGCTCTCAACACTAATGATCGTCCTCGCAGTCAATTACAGTGACTTCCAGGCTGAGGTGGAAAGAAACACTGTGAATAAACATTCATCCTCTTGGAAGGACATATCAAATTTGGTTACAGTGCAGAGCGGGGACAGCAGTGTAATGGTGTCTGATGGCAGTCACGCCATCTGACTGAAGGACTGAGAGTGCTGCCGCTCACTCAGTGTTGGCACTTTGCTGGCCTCCATCTGCTGGTTTAGACTGGAGCATCACACTGGTGCCTTTTGTCTGCGTAGTAACCGCTTAGATCCACAAGGGAGGGTAAAGGGAAGGAGTCGCCGACGGTTAAAATATTATTTTAAATTAAATTCACAAGTGTTGGCTAAACAATTTCTGCCCAATTTCAATGCACTTAAAGCTCAGAGGGATGTTTCAATAATATCGGGCAACAGTTAATTACTGTCAGTATGACATAGTACACACTACACACAATGAAACTGTTCTCTGTCTTAAACCAAACGTCTGCATACTGTATATCGGATTGGTTGATATCAGATTGGGAAATGTTCGGACATTATCGGCATATAGGATATAAGCAAAAAGTTAATATCCAACATCCCTCCAACAGATGCATTTTGTTTTACTCGCAAAAAATATTATTGCTCCCTCATTCATTTTTTTTCCACAAATCTTATTTCTTACTGTTTATTCTCTCTAACTTATAGCTTTCTTTTTGCAATTTCTTTCTCCAAATGTCCCTAATATTTTCTATTATTGACGTGTTATAGCTGGAAGAGTGCAATAGAATAAGATATGCATCAGACAGAGTAGTATAAAAACTGTGACATATGACTATAATATGACAAGATAAAAGGAAAACAGAAAGAAAAAAAAAGCATTAGTGAATATGTTTTTTCTGATTTGTTTGAATAATATATTTTCCACTTTTCGTCTAACTGTCAACTTCCAGACTGGACTCATTTTACTTTCTCAACCTTTTTGGTTCCATTCCATCAACCGAGCATTAAAAGCTAAAATGTTTTCAGGACGTGTGTCCAAAACTGAATGGCACGGATTTAATTACGCCACCAGTTAAACAAAAGACTTTGTTATCCACTAAATGAACGTGTTGAAATATAGTGCATTTTAAGCCACTTAATTATAGTCTTAAGTATCACAGGAGAGGCAGATGGCTCCTGGGTATTTTTACATGATCTAATCTCACTTTGCTTAAAAAGTCTGGCCGCAGATAAACTGAGGGGAGTCGCAGCCTTCTCCGAAACAACAGGCCTTTATCTGAGAATACATGACACCAGGTCAACTACAGGAACGGAGGATCAACGTCAAGGGGTGTCAAGAAGGAAATACTCACTTATCATATCATAACACACACACACACGTCGCAGTGTTTAATCAACCAGACATGTGACACACAGGCAAGAACAGCGTTATCATGATCTGGGAGTTTTGGCCATCAGTTTGATACACATGATGGTCACTGAGATGATACTTTAAACATGAGCTGTTTCATTGAAATGAAAACTCCTTCCAGCAGGGTGTGTAAATAACAACATGTGGATCATCGTTGTGTAAAAGCAATGATAAATGGATGGACTGTGGGATTGGATTAGATTAGAATGAATTGCATTAGATTAGATTACATTAGACTGGATTAGATTAGATTAGATTAGATTAGATTAGACTAAACTTTAAGGAATTGTGGTATGTGGCAGCATTATTGGATATGAATTATTTCTGAATATTTTATTTAATATTTTAATGTGATTAATTATCTGTCATATTATCACATTCATTATTGTGGTTTTATACAGTTTAATAAACAGGTGCCTGGATCATCTCTCGACCCTGTTACAAAACATCTGTGGTTTTTAAAGACTAACAACGGTCGTCACAGAGCAAGAGTTCCACTCAAAGTGGAGATGTTACAATTTTGAGGAAACAAA